CGTTTTTTCCAGTGATGCTTGAACGATGCCGATCGCTCTTAATAAGCTCGTCCAATAACTAGGCCGATCAGCCGGAATTCTTGGCGAGTTTCTCCGAAAGGGGATCAGGAGGGTCTTCCGCAATTTTATCGGTTGCCAATGGCAACGCCTTGAGCAGCTTGCGTCGCCGCGAGCACCCACGTGCCAGCTTTTCCGACACGCTGGAGAGACTACTGGAGCTGGCAGGAAGAAAGAAAAAAGGGAGCTCGCAGATGGAAGACGGGGAACAACCCTCCCAATGGAGCCCAGTTCGACACTTCCCCTTTTCCTCGCTTCGAAAGTCGAGTGAGAGCTAGCGGAATCTTCAATAGAATCAGACATTTAACTCTAAACTTTTCGGATGTGTCTCATGAAAGATATACGTACGTATCTATTTTCCATTACTTCAAACAGTAATCTCTCTCACTTTACATTGTGGTTACAGCGCGCATCGTTTTAATCTGTCCAATTTATGTAAATTACGTTTATACATTCTTTCTATAATTAATATTATTACATTTCCTCATAAACAGAGGGTACATTGGAGACATTATGTCGAAGATGAGAGAGAGAGAGAGAGAGAGGGAGAGAGAGAGAGAGAGAGAGAGAGAGAGAGAGAGAGAGAGAGAGAGAGAGAGAGAGAGAGAGAGAGAGAAAGAGAGAAAGAGAAAAAGAGTTGCAATTATTTAATAGCATTCGTAAAAAGATCATCTCATTTCCACAAGTATATTAATTATCTAAACGCTGATTTCTATCGTTTCTATGTTATAACTGTTGTGGTACAACTTCAACAAGCTCTTGTATCTAATCTTATCTAAAGTATATTTTGTACCATCTATTAGTTTTCATCGCATACTCTTACGTATTTCATTCAGTTAAAGTTCTTACTTCTTGTGAGATATGGCCGTAGATAGGATAAGATATATTTTTATGCTGCAATTTCGTCACTTTTCTAACGATTCATTTCGATGATGCGCAACTTCGAAAATGTTTAAATTTCCCATAAAAGAGAAAAAAACGGTGACATTTCCATTCAATTCCACACGAAACACTAATGCGTAGCATCGAGCGATACTTTGTGCTTCCGCTTCTTTCATCTATTTTTATACGTGTTTTCACTTATTCATATTTAATCGACCAAATTAACAAAAGTTTTTACAACTATTTTTTACAATTATTAGCAATATTTTTAATTGAAATATATTTCAAGTACGTATTGGCGAACATTTATCTCTCGCACGTTTTATACTTATATATGTTTAATATATTTATATATTTTCAACTCTTTTATACTTTTATCACACGTGTTGTGTGTAATGTGTAATTTGTGTGAAATATCATTTAGACGTAGTTTCATCTGCGATTAGATAATAAAGCTTGTTCGGGATGTCAATCTGGACATATACTGTTCATTGAGCGGAGCGAATTGTTCTCTTTGTTCCCCATTTAACGCGAACGCCAAATCCGATCGACGTTTTCGCGAATTACAGCTCGCAGGTCGTAAACGTTAACGGTTGGCCTTAGTTATGGGACTTGGTCTCAAGCCGATGTCCGAAAAGAGCCGGTCATCTTAAGAATATTCCGGAACGTTGTTGAACGCCCGAGGACGGTCTCCGGATAATTGAAGGCCGAAAACCTTCGTTTAACCTTTACGGCCAGCAGAATTATACTATTTCTGCGAAATGGCCGCTCGACGGGTGCCGGACAGTCCCCTAGAATTCAAGGACCCGGACCCCATGAATATTCCGGGGACCGCTCTTATGGCCGCCGCCGCCTCCGCCGCCGCCGCCGCCGTCGTCGAGCTCTATGGTATTTCAGTGCCGATAGTAGACGAACACGCGACTATGGCCAAAAATGCAGCAAAAATCCTCTAATTAAAGCTCACTTGAACGTTTAATTTGGCGCGACGTAATGTCCTCGAACGATAAAGAATACGATCGAGAAAATGATGTTTGTTGAATTTTATAAAGCAAAATTTAAAAATTTTTTCCCTTTTCAGGCGTCCTGGATGTAATTAATATAATATTATAAATATTACAATAGTAAAAATTCAATAAATTATATTACTTGTAATGGTGACAAGCGATCTTAATATTGTGCCGAGCACGTGATATACATTCTGTAAGAGAGTATTTTAAACAAATAAAACTATCGCTAATACAGATGTATATATTTTATATATATTTTTGTTCTTAGCATTCTTGAAAATGTATTTTCGGAAAATTAAGAAAATTACACTAGCATTGAATATCACTGACATTGTGACAGCTGTGTAATATCACTTATTACGGCATATTATCTTGATCAAAACTAATTTGGTGTACGAAAAAGATATTCATAACAACGTTATCGTTCTTTAATATATGTATATACATATATTAAAGAACGATAACGTTGATTATTTATTATAAAAGCATAGATGGCAAGATCGTACCACGTAGTGAAGAAAATGGCGGCAAGAATCTCAATCTTGCGAACTGCAGACGGCGCCACTAGCTGGGACAAAGAAATCGCAAGTGCAAAATCTATCGTAATTTTCTATTAAAAACCTCGACTTTATAGAATTGGTCGTTTAAACATAATTAACCTTCCATAAATTATCGTTCATATGCTATACAACAAAATGTTTTACTAATTTATCCGCGATAATTCATCAAGAAATTATAAACTGCTACTTGTTTTCCTAGAAGCAAAAGATTTTCAAATAACAGTAGGATGCCAATTATCACAAAATATAACATATAAAAATGATCGAATATGCAAAGTGAATATTAATCAAAATTGGTAACGTCTTAGCTTTCGGTTTAACGCCGATGTATGATCTATATTACGAATTTAATGTCAATTTAATTAATTGTATCATCAACTGCTTGACTCAAATAAATCACTTCAATATCATAAATCTGTGAAAATTGAGTTTGTTGTTGTTTATAAGTTGGAAAAAATCTAGCAACATGACTATGAAGAGAGTTTCTTCTTAGACATTAGACTTTATATTACATAAGCACAGAATTTGACGATACATTTCTAGAATCATTTAAAAAATTCGAATTTCTAGAAACATTTAAAAAATGCATCGCCTTTTTGAGAGACCTGCGATTTTCTCTTGTCTCTGACTAAGAGCAATGAGTGCGTTTGATTGTCTTGAAAAAGAATATTTGAAAGAAGACTAACAGCATATTGATATGCGTATAATGATACAATAGTACAGCTATTTATATTGTGCATGCAATATGTATTCTGTATACTATTATCAAGCGCTATTTCTATGCAGCACAATCTGAACTATGTCTAAAACGGTCTGCAGAATTGGAATGTTTATTAGAATTACTTTTAGATCTGTCTGTCATTTGTCTTTGTTTACGATTCTGTTCAGACATCGATTATGTTTTTAAAAAGTAAATATATCCCCGCCATATATCATAATGTCCATCGACACAGTTAGTATATTTTCAAGTAAATTCATAAATTCATAGTAGACTGTTCTTTTCTCTATTATGTTCATTTACACAACGTGCGACACGAGATTCATTTATTACGTTTAATTTTCGTCCTTCGCGGATATTCATCGACATATAAAATTAATAATTCGACAGTCTGCAGTACTCGAGAATTTCCATTGCGCTACTTTTCGACTCTCATCTTACAAAATGGCGTGCCCGGGTACGAACGGCATCATGGTACTCTCCACCCCTTCGTGAGGGTAAAACCCCATTCCTCGAACCACAAAGCCACCCTTCATGTGGGGTCAGCTCCCGATCCCTCGTACGCTGAATTCGAAAGTAAGCCCAGGATACGAGGGGAATAAGAAAGTGGAGGGAGGGAGGGGTGCAAGGGGCTCGCCCCGTAGAGTCTCCCGGGAAATTCCCGGAAAATATTGCCACCACTATGACTGAATCCAGTCGCAGCACCATCTAACAACTTTTCCTGGTGATCAGTATCGTCGACCCGGAATGTCATACTCTCTCAACGCAACCGAGGCACAGGTAGAAATTGTTGGGACCGACAAACGGTACTAGCAAACGCGACGGAAAATAGACGCGTATTGCGAGATATCTATTGAGTGATTTTTTTCCCACAGCCTAAAGACCCGTTGGAAAATTTACTCCATAGGTATTTTTAGTTTGTTTGCTTGTCTCTGTCCAATATCACGCTTAACATATTGAATATCGCTGCTTAATATCGTGTGAAATTCAGTCGTTTATTTCATGTTACAATATTAAACATAAAGATTTTCAAAAATGTACCATTAATTTCTTATGTTCATTTGAAGAAATTATGAAGCCGATAAAATAGCTATTAACATCAAACACAAATATTAATACAAAAAAAGGAAAAAAACTTGAGACGACCTTAAACATAATATCAAAATACGTATAAAAATACCAACCAGAGAGTGCTTAACATTCTTCTCTCTCTCTCTCTCTCTCTCTCTCTCTCTCTCTCTCTCTTTTTTTTTTTTTTTTTTTTTTTTTTTTTTTTTTTTTTTTCTCTCTCTCTCTCTCTCTCTCTGAAATATCTTTATCTTTATTAATATTTAATTTTACTATATTATTATTTAAACTTAATTTATGTCTATACATTTTAGGTATTTGCCTATCATCTGTTTTCCATACTTCAGTAAAAATGTGAAAAAATGTAGTCTCAAAATTGAGATTGGATAAATAAAAAGACAATCAGAAACGTGTTTCCGAATGAATGAGAAGTTTCGAAGAAGCTTTGAAAAAGTGTTAGTACGGTTTATCTATAATCCACAGTTTATCCTAATCATGTTAAGTGTGACATAAAATTCAAAATAATTCATATGTATATAGACGCACGTCGTCAATATATCAGTGTGATGTCATGTCCAAAACGATATAATTGACGACGAAGTTGGTTCAGACAAACCACTGGACTGGGTAAAGATAATGTACCGGAAAGATTTGCGCGGTTGTGCGAGAGTGACGTCAATTACCATCATCGATAATAATCCAACGAACAACTCTCTCTCGCGACAGTCTAGAACCTACCTCCGAACGAAACGAACACGAGCGTTCTTCGACACTCACCGAAACTGTACGGTAGGTCTTATTATGTACAAAGTTCAATCGCGTATTTACACAAGTAGCGAGCTAATACCAACCTCCACATTTTTGTAACTACTAACATTTTTCATTGTTATAATAATGTTTTATTATCGTACATCGATCTGGTGCGAATTGGTGACAACTCGAAAACAGTTGATTTCTTGTGTGTTAAAAGTCATTAAAAAAATGTTCATGACAGAACAAGACGGCTTTACCTCTATATTATGTACGGTTAGGATTTCGGCGTGTGTTCAATTAACAATATTTTAGTATGTCTAGTAAAAATTGTATTAAAGCGAATGAACTTGATTTGTGTCACAATGAAGTGATTAGAGTTTCCGTCACATCGGCAAACATCTTTCATGGAAATCTTTGTGGAAAATTGCATAGAAAACCTCTAAAATATAATGCTTATATAGAAACTTTCGCGGGAAAGCGGACGAATTCGCTGATTTATGTTTTGACATCTACGAGTGCATTTACGAGTATGTATAATTTATATATAATTTTTTTCAATTCCCTTGATAATTTAATGACACAAAAATTGAAAACCGATCTCGTTTTACTCTCCGCAATTTTTCGTCCGTAAATCACTGTTCTTGGAATGTTTTCTCTTCACGTAAGACTTCTTTACATTTTACATTGTGAAACCAGTTTTTCTAACACAACAATTATAACACGATCATCATGACATCACCGCAATCATGATGATGATAATGAAAATTGCCAATTGATATACATCTCAGATGTGACGTAGGAATGTTGATCTCATTTTCTCCCCAATCGTATCACTTGCTTGCAAATTATTACTTTAACTCTACTAATTTACATTAATGCATGGAAAGATTTTGATATGAAATTACAGGAAAATTATTCCTTTTATACGATTATGATATACCTATCTGTATTTTTTCGTTTCATCTTCTTGCTATTCCTATTTCACTTTACAAATTACTAATATCAATTTTTAATATATAAATATTTAATAATATAAATAATTAATTATTAATTAATAATATTAATTATACATTTAACGACACTGTTCACGCAAATCGTTGCGAAACTTTTTAAAGGTTTTGGACTACATGATACTACACAAATATTAAAAAGGATGAGACATTGCGGTAATTTGATTTTGTCGACCTGCGTTCTGCTCCTCGCGTGCAGCACTGTGCATGCTGCTGCGCCGACGGTACATATACGAAATGGCACGTTAGCAGGTCTAGTGATGCAAACCAGACGAGGAAAAGACTTCGTCGGATTCCGAGGAATCCCCTACGCCACACCGCCTCTCGGTGAGCTCAGATTTCAGGTAAATTTCCTATCTAACGCGAGATACACGCGGAGTTGTTTCTGATACCGTCTGATGAAGCTAAGGATCAAATTAGATTATGTGACTATTTGACTCAGACCCGATTTCATCAGATTTAAGTGGATCTTTATACTTGACGAAACGGAAAGTCGAAAACATGCGGGAAATATTTGAAACTTTGTTCTCAAGCAAATTGAATTTGAATATTCGCCAGATACGTGCAGTCTTGACTAATAGTACCGTTCAATTGAACGTTGTACCACCCGTTGTTGTTGTCTGTGCGCATAAATATGATTTGTCTGATATTATTCTAAATATCCGTATAACTTTAAAGTATTCCAAAAGGTACAACAAAAACTTAAGACATGTGAAACTTTACTAAAGATAAAATTTACTTGTCCTTTAATTTCAAATGACGCCGTAATTCGTTGCAATTTTAATTTAATTGCAATAATTGCCGAGTTTGTTGATATTGTTGAAAATTAGAATGCCTTTATAAATTTGTTTGTCAATTCGGGTTACCTTCGATAAATTGCGTGATTGTTAAAATATTTCGATGTTAAAATATTTCTGATGTGATGTAAGAATATTATATTCTTTGAATAATTTGCGTTCGCAACTGGTGTCGTTATTTCTTTTCAACGCAAGTATAAGCGGCAGGCAGTATCAAGAAACTGCTTATAATTTCGACTTGTCATTTCGAAAGCTTATATAAGGCGATTATATCAATATACGAATCGATCACAATCAGCTGGATCGCGGCTTATGATTAAGAAAAAAATAGATATTAGAAGCCGCGGAGTTAATGAGTCCAACCTGTCTGTGGTATATCCCAGTGCTTCTTAATGTATTTTTGCGTATTTTTGCGGCAATCGGTAGCGATTACATAATAATGTTATGAGGGAAATGCCGTTTTCTCTTACAGAATTAAGCACACGTCGTAAATTTTTTCTCGCAATTACGCGAAAGCCACTAATTCGGATCCGACGGTAATATACGCCATTTTTCTAAAGTAATACAAGATAATGTTGCACCTCGCGCGTATTTCGTTTCGCGGAAGTGAGAAAATTACGTTACAAGCCAACTGAACCGTGATAATTCTTTCCGAGCACGGAGCTGCTCATAAAAACGAGCCACAATCTCAACAGATGTACGTATAGGATTCTTCAAAACCGCACTTTGTCAACTCTTTGTATTCGCGCGACGTTCTGTCGCCAATGAATGCACTTGATGACACCGTCTAGATTTGCATACACTACATGAAATATTAATTATTATTATTAGTGGCTTATGTCCGAACAGTAAATATCCCGCGTATATAAATTAGTTATAAGATACGTGTTAATTGTTAAAATGTGTATTGACATGTAAGAATGAACATACGATCAATTGAATACGATTTCGTAAAAAAATATAATTTGTTTAAATGGTGCTAACTTGAAATTGTTTCTCGAGCAAAACATTGAAGTCAGAACTTGATTCAGTATAGCATCTTGTGAAAATTTTACAGTATCGTCTAGTAGTATATATAGTATAGTATTTTATAGTATATAAAATTTTAGAGTATAATATCTTGTGAAAATTTTATACAATTATTTAAAAAATGTCGGGCATAGAAAAACAAACTAAGAATATTTTTATCGTTGAATATATTCGACGATGAAAAGATTTAAATTTGCTGATAGTCCAAATATAAAATCAAATTTAATACAATCATTGTATAACCGCGACATCAAATAAAATATAAATAACAAGAAATTTTGTCATTTTGTCATTATGCATGCAGATCGATATGATGCACACCTTGTGCATTCCGTGCACCGGAATAAAAAAAGCGTTGAAAACGATCAGCCATTGAAATATAATGCTTAAGAATGACGCGGATAGCGTGCGATGTCTACGCGAGATATGCTGATCGCATCTTCCATATATTACATATTCTTTTGCCGACTGACTGCTTTTGTTATTTAACAAGCGTGAAAAGACGCTCGTTGCATATTTACTGTCGCTTATATTATAATATCATGCCTATCCGATGATGTAAGCATTGCATTATCTGATATTGCTAGTTTCGTATTCAGAAAGGACTTGGCTTTCGTCGCCAACACATACGAATAGTTGCATCGTTGCACAACAATAAAGATAGAATCGAGATATGTCAATGGAATAAATTTAATCTTTTATCTCTCATTCTGATATTTTTTCTCAAGTGTTGTGATATATACAATTATATAGAAGATATAAACTTTAAACTTGACATTCTACCGAAATATCGTAAATATCTCCGCTTTTTATTTCTTCATCATCATTTTTATGTTAATTTTTATTTTATATTCAACCCTTCAATCTTAATTTGCGTTCTCGATTCTTTCTTTTGTGACTCACCGATCACCGAGTTGATATTTGTATTATAACACTTGCGCTTTATAAAATTCGTTTAAATTCATAAATATTTCGCCTTTTGACTTTTTCGTCATTCTTGATATCGTTTTTATTTAATAAAATATATATCAGCTAAAAAGTAATGGAAAATTAAATGTTTATTAAAATTTTTTTAAAGAGGAGTAAACACGCATGTGCATGAACACTGAAAGAATCATTTTCCTTTGGTTGTACAATTCAGTGCAATATATAATCATAGATAGCAAAGTCTAATTCTTATAATACAATGTTACCAACTCATTATGAATTATAGATTCAGTCATTAAGTGCAATCACTCACCTATACATGTAATCAACAATCAATCGTCTCGTTGCTGTCTCTTTATCTGCAACTGTTGCCTCTATCAGCGTTTCTCTCAATCCTGTAATTTCGTTCATAAACTATTATATATATTTTCATATTTATCTTCGCTATGCTAACAGCGAGCGAGAGAGAGAGAGAGAGAGAGAGAGAGAGAGAGAGAGAAACATCGCATTAATTAAGAATATACTTCAAATCTACGAATATATGAATTAAAAGTCATCATAAAAGAAAACTGAGACAAACGGACTTTAAAAATCAAACTGCTCCAAAACTGCATCATATTTTGTCAAATCAAAAATCATCTCGACATCTCAAGGTAAATTGAAGGAACGATATCGATCTTATAATAGACAAACATGTAAATAATAACTAAATATATTTACCAGCCAATAACTCAGAGTTGGCCCGAATCGCCTAATATCAACTTCCTAGCACTCACTTACACTCGGTTACGATTCGGAGACACACACGCGTAATCGCGATCGCGCGCATTGAGTAATTGCTCTCTCCCATCGAACAAGTATATCGATGTCGTTCGCAAAATACAAAACAAAGGTCAATCGGTCGACGGTACATCCGACTACGGGCATAGACTGTGTGTGTGTGTGTGTGTGTGTGTGTGTGTGTGTGTGTGTGTGTATACAGCTGAATCGACGACGAACTACGACTAACGTTCGGACATACCACACGACGATCGTCGAGTTTTCCGTTTCATTTACTCACGATGTTCGATCGCGCGCATGATCGACACGATGTATCAATGAGACATATGCGAAATATAACGCGAGACAACGCGATCGGTTGCGTCATGTTTCTATGTAGCAAATGTCATTTTCTTGCCGCACCGTTTCCCGGGATATATCGGTAAAACAAAAGAGATGCAAAAAACGTGAGGAATGTGGAGCGACTGTATGAGCTACTGTAAAAACTAGCAAACGCAAACGTGTCATGTAGGACATTTGGTACGATAATGAACTGTAATAAACAAACGATTGGTCGAAATTTGTTGATTGTAACGTCGAGTTATACCATAATTGTAACATCGAACAACACAACACAGACAACCGTTCAGGACACATGAATTTTCTTTGGAGAAATGTAACCAATTATATTTTATGTATAGCGATCTCGATATATGATATGATGTAGGAACGAAGCAACAAACGGAAGAAACGGGTGTCTCATTGACACAAAGACTTTCTCTCTCTCTCTCTCTCTCTCTCTCTCTCTCGCTCTCGCTCTCGCCTTTGTCCTACGCTCGGATAAAACAAAAACACAAAATATCTCGCCGGTTCAGCGGCGCGTACACGATGAACGTGAACACGTGTCTGTACCTGTTGACGGCAGTGTGTGTGTCGTTATCATTACATTGCCATTGCACAGGTATAATATATGATTGAGAAAATGCGCGTCGACACATTAGTCGACGCATCGAAATGATGAGACTGTCGTTAAAAGTTACGGACTAACCTTACTTACGAGACGCTACCCCGAATCCCGAAGGCGAACCACTCTGAGTCGATGTATGACGACCGTGCCGTAATTATTCGATATTTGGATGAAATACACGTCGATCGAGCGATTATTCGTTTCGTTACCTCAAGTTTATAAGATTATACGATACGTCGCGTTGTTCTCGATGCTGCAAATATTTTGACCTATTTCGACCCGCTGCCGATACGCTGCGGAAAGAAGGAACGCGAAACGGCAAGGAAACACGAAACTGCGAGACACTTGGGTGTACGCACGGTACAAAGAGTACATCTTATGGAAATGTTTAATGATACTTTCGTTATATGTGTCATGCCTGACAATTCGTATCTCATTCTCGACCCGTTCCGCAAGCTTCCACGAAAGTCTCGAATTCGCAATTCAGCGAGGCGATCATAACATAATTTATAATTACGCGGAGCGGCATTTAGCGCTCGTACCGTTCCGTTTTCGGTATTGACGATGTTCTAGAAGCCACGCCAGGAAGATAGAAAACGAAAAAGGAGAAAACCTATCGGAATTGGGACGGCATTGGCATTGCTATGAGAATAACGCTTGTAATACGTTAGAATAATAATTCTAATTTGAAAAGTTTTGATTAAAGATCTGATTTAAATAACTGATAAATTTAGTTTATAAATTGTAACTCCAATGATATGAATAGCAGTCTATTTATAAACGTCAGTGCGTCAACGCTATATTTCGTTCTATCGATAGTTAACACTGATAGTAACACTGAGCGACCCGACATGCATTCATGAATTTTTCATTATTCCCGACTTTCTTGGCGCGATATTTGTGTTGTAATAATAATAATAAGGCCTGTTCGGTATCTGTGAGCGGCAGTATGTGTCGTTATTATTATATTGTCATTGCACAGATATGCATGATAAAGAAATATGTGTCGACACAACGTTAGAATGATGAGATTGTCGTTAAAAGCTACAGTGGATAACCTTATTTACGATAACGAAACGCTATCCCGAAGCAAAGCAAATCCGCGAACCGTGAGTCGATCATAATTATTCGATATTTGGGCAAAATACACGTCGATCGACGTCGATTATTTGTTCTGTTGTCATAATTTCATAAGATTATACGACACGTAGCTTCAAGTCGTTCCAAGTCGTTGCGGATTTTCCTCCCATTTGATCCGCTCCAAGTGCGCCACGGAAAGGACGTACGGAAACGCGAAACGAAACCGTGAGGCCTAAGGCTATCGCATACGAAATGACATAGATGCATATGCATAGCATAAGCCAGCCTTGACCGATGAGCATTTAGGAAAAGATTGCCATGCTGATTTACAAAGCATATGAACTTTTTTCTAGACGCTCAACTCTAACCGAAAGCATTTTATGCTGTACATACGCATCTATGTTATTTTGTGTGCGATAGCCCTTAACGCGCATGCGCGCTGTACAGCGGTGCATACGCGGTGCACTTTAACGAAACGAAATTCAATGATACCTTCTTCCTTATATATGTGTAAGCCACGAACTGTCTCACGCCTGACTGAGTTTGTACGTAGCTCATCCTCGCATGTTCCGCCACAAGCCACTTCCACGGAAGTCGGAGTTTCGTGATTCTCTGCGACGGTATATATACCTTCATAATAATGAGAAGTACACTTACCGCACATACCGTTTCATTTTCGGAATTGATGGTGTTGCAGAATGCGCGCTAAGAAAATGTAAAACGGAAAGGAAGGTATGCCGAAACTGGAACAGAGAGATCGGCGCTGCTATGAAAATTGCGTTTATACTGTTTTACAATAATAATTCTAATTTGATTAATTACGATTAAAATCTTGACGATTTAAATTGTAAAATGATTGATTTAAATCTTGATATTTATGATAAAATTAATAACGATGGGACTCTTATTACTACTATAAATAGCGATCTAACTGCATAATTTACACAATGACAAAGTCAAGGATGTTACCTATTAACCTATTTTGCTCGTATTGTTGCAATCAACAATATGCGACATTGGTTCTTATGTTGAGAATTAATTTCTTCATATCTATTTGTTTTTCTGTTTTTTGCTTTTACATTTGACATCCACTTTTACTTTATCAAAACTCAGTAAGCGTTTCGAGTCCAATCTATCCAATTGGTCTGCTCGATTCTCAATCTGAATCCGAAATGTCATCTTCCCCTTCGTGTTGAAAGCGACGAAATTAATTTCGACGTAGAAAAATAGACTTAGAATTGCTGAACCTAGTCTATATGCTACTAGTCACGCGAGTGATATTAACAATGCGACACAATATGTGTTCTTCCGCCGTAAAGCCGCCGAAGCCTGCGACTGCTTGGGATGGTGTACGACTCGCTCAGGACGATGCCGCGATATGCACGCAGCGGAACGCCTATACGCAACAAAAGGACATCGTGGGTGTCGAGGATTGCCTTTACCTGAACGTCTACACGCCGAAAGTGCCATCCGACGAGGAAGCGGCGATGTTCCGGCGCTTCCCGGTCATGATTTGGTTCCATGGTGGTGGATGGATCACCGGTGCCGGACATTCTGCGTTCTATGGCCCCAAGTTTCTGCTGGACCACGATGTCATCTTGGTTACTGCAAACTTTCGGTGAGATAGAATTTGACTAATAATAATCTTTTTCAACTTAAACTTTGCCATTTGCACGTTTTCGTTTTCATCACGGATAAAGAAAGAAAGCGTTATTTTTAGCCCTCCTTTCTCTTCCCCCCCTTTTTAAATATATTCATCAATATCAATTTCTATTACAAAACCTCTACAAATATTCAGACACATTTGTTCTTATGCAATCCAAAGCTGGAAGAGATTTTTTTTTGTAATTTTTATAGTAATTGAGCTCGCCGAGCTCAAACATTTACCGATTAATGACGTTACTGATCGATAACGTTTAGTAATAATTGTACAATAATATGGAAGGAATTCTTGCGATAGACTTGGCCCACTGGGTTTCCTGAGCACCGAAGACATGGAATGCCCAGGTAATATAGGCATGAAGGATCAAGCGCAAGTTATTCGATGGGTGCACGAAAACATTGCCTCCTTTGGCGGTGATCCGAACAGAGTGACCATCTTCGGTGAAAGTGCAGGCGGTGCGAGTGTGCATTATCATATGATGAGTCCTCTCTCGCAAGGTAAGGCTTTGGCAACATTTTTATGCTGAAATATTAATTTGTATGTAAAAACATTTATCGATATTAGCATAAATATGAATAGACACGAAATTATAGATAGATATTTTATTGACTCCCCTTGGGGTTACAATTCTTTGACCTGCCATTTACACACTACTCTATTTTTTCGCCTCTTACACTATGCACGAGAGAGAGAGAGAGAGAGAGCGCTTCTCATTCACTTTTCCATTCTCTCCCTCTCTCTCACTCTCCATTCCTTTCCTCTCACACCATGACCTCCGTTTCCGCCGCTCCTTCTACTTCCCTCTCCCTCCCCTTCATCCCCCTCCCTTCCCCTCCATTTTTCTCATCAACCACTTCCCTCATCAATCCCGACATGAAATTATAAAAATATGAAAAAATTTATAAATAATACGGGAAACTGAGTATTTTGTCATAAATAGCAAAAAGGACACACTCACAAAAGGGGAGTTCTTGATCAATTACCATTGAAAAAAATAACTACGCACACACGAATAAGAATTTATCTACGACTAGGTCTTATTATCGACACAAAGTTTACATTTTGAAGTGTTCTTAGTGCAAATTACTGTTATCGATATAATTTCGTTCTACGATCGCGTTTCTTTTTTTCGCGCAGGTCTTTTCCATCGCGCAATTTCTCAGAGTGGCACAAGTCATTGCCCGTGGACTTTAACAAAGCCAGGATTTGCTAAAGAAAAGGCTAAAGTCCTGGGTGAACGATTGAACTGCCCTACCGGTAGCTCCAAGGAGCTAATCGCCTGTCTGCGTACAAAGAGCGCTACCGACATTACTGGCATCGACAAGGTCTTCATGGTAATTATACACGCGCACAGAAATTGTCATCATAAGTAAAGTTAAAATCAGGTGAAGTTAAGATTAGCTTGACTTGTCTGCATGTAATTCTGTCTCTTCTTCCTTAGGGATATTGAATGCACTAAGTTATTTATTAAATTATTTTCTAACTCTGATTACACATAAAAGCAACTATCATATTTGCAAAGTAATTCCAGTTAACCGCATTTATTTATCAAATTAATCATCGACATGCTTCCTGTGTAAAAATTAGTTTTCTATCGCAACACTTAAGTGTCATTTACTTGTATAGAATGTATACATTCTCTCGTTTGAGAATATTTTCTTATGCTAGTACAGTTTAATGTAACCTCTAATTAGATATTAGATAATTAGATATGAGAGCACGAATTAGCTCATACCAAGTTTTTCAAAAGTAACGAAACCCCCGCCCCTATCTCAGAATCTATGCATTATAGGGAAAAATGATCCGAACAAAAGTTTTAGAGTTCATAAAGTTCTGTTTTTCTGTGACCTCAAAGTTGACCTTGACCTCGACCTTGAAAGTCATTTGAAGGTCAACTTGCGTTTTTAAAATGGAAATCCCTGTTTTTTATTGCACTGTTTTTTCTTTTATCGATTAATTTGAACAACTGTCTAAAACATTTTTTTTATTTGCCTAATATTTTTCGAGATATTTGAGGAAAACTTGATAACTTTTTCGATATTTAACTTAGCGATATCTCGCTAACTATTTGTCGGAAGAGAAAGTGATACTGGACTTTCTTGCTTTACTATTTAGAATCCCAAGAATATATTGTTACAATAGTGCCCTGATTTTTGTTAATTTGATAATTTTGGAATTTCCAAAAGTCAGTAAGTTCTTTCAAATATAGCCACGATTGTGTCTAACTAAACTTCCCAACGTAGGTGTGAATTTTTATTTAATACTTTTAGATATGCTCAAGATTCGACATCACAATGCAGGAGATAGGTGAACCCGCGGTGTTCGTATGCGCATGCTTAAAATGTTTCTAATGCATTCATGCGCAAACGTTGAAAGTGCAGTCGTAAAAATATAACCTGTGCTGAGCTTTATCTCTGCACTTTACATCTTATATATGCGTGCATCAGTCTCAGAAATTACGTGCGCTGACAAGCGGACACTTCATCGACACGACTTCACCGATACATAAATTATCCTTGGACAGTCACGCGATGGTTTCGTTATGTTACACGTCAGGATAGGTGGGTCCTGATGCAAAACTGAGATTGAAAAATGATTATAATAAGCCATTGTGAAATGGCTTTCAATCGTATCATTCGTTTATTCGTTTTCAAACGTTTCAATTGTATATTATTCATACGCAACACACAAATACCGATATTTCTATCGGTATAATATATATTTTCATAAAAATATCTATATTTTTTTTCTTTATACTTTAATAACGTGAGCTGCGTGCAGTTAAAGAGATATTTCAAGTTAAGATTAGTAGGCAAGTAGTAGGCCGTCTACTAATACACATATTTTTTAGCTAATCGTAAAGTTCTCATGTATAACATATTTTCAGTAATCGTCGCAGTTTCATTTCCAACGTTGTTATCCATTTTTGTTGAAGCGGCGAGAAGTGCGAGATTTTCATGTATTCTAGATACTTCTCGTTTACACTAACTGCTCATTAGGAATTAAAATTAATATCCAATTAAATCGCGCGAGTATACTGAATAAATACATCCAAGTCCTGACGAAGCGAGAAACCAGTTTGGTGAATACGCATATGCATATATATTCCGTGCGTGTTGATCACGTGTTTTCTCTATTTCCTCTTGTGTGTAGGTGAATGTCTTTACTCGTGCTTTACTCGTGCTCGTGTTGGAACTCCCCAATATATCGACTGACATTGAATGAAATAAAAAGTGGCAAACTGATCGTACGCAGACAAATGACACGTGCGCAGACTTGTTGTAAACAGACTTTGTATTATCCGTAAAACTTCATCTAGCCAATTATCGTGTCGATGAAGGAAATCGTGAATAATTTCACTGAGGTCTCGTCGAGTTCAACACGAGAAAACAACGTCACCGCAAGTTTTTAAGTCAAATGTCGCAATCCGAAAATAGCGATTCCAAAGAGAGACGATTTAATAAAGCGACACATGCATTTTCTCTCTCTCTCTCTCTCTCTTGCTGCTCGCGATAAATATATCGCTTACTACGTAATACTTGATTGATATGATATACTCCGCGTATCAAAGGTTACAAGTCATGCGAGTGAGCGCAAATCACAAATTTTTCAATCTCAACTTAACTCTCATTTGTTTCGTGAAGTCTGCAAATATTTCACAGCGTTTCTTTAATCCGTTACGACGTAACTCTTCTCGTAGCTACGTATCCCTTCACTGCTAGCTCAGAGAACCGTACCTGTCGCTTTATAATTTGCATATGCACTCTTTGGTACTTTCGCATAACTTTCTAATTTAATTAACCGTATCTTATGACAGGTCTTTGGTTACTGTCCGATGATACCTTTTAAACCAGTAATCGAACCCAATCATCCAGGTGCCTTTTTGACGGAGGATCCTGTAATTTCCACAAAATACGGACGCATCGCTGATATACCTTGGATGACGGGAATTACGTCGGAAGAAGGATCATTGAAAGCACCAAGTAAGTGCAACAACATGCTCGAATCCAGAACGGAGAACACATTTATGTAAAGAATAATAAATGTAAAAATAATAAAAATCTTCGATTCCAAAACCCTAATCGTGAGAAAATTCTGTTGTGAGAAAATAATATCCTTCATAGACATTCATATTTAGTTTCTTGAACGGAAAGTGTGAGAATAAGAGAAGTTATCTTTTCTTGCAATTTCTTTTACTTCGTAAAACTTTATTGGTGTCGCGTAGATTATTCGTTTCAAATTTCAAAATGTCGTCATTCATCCCTGCGTAACGTGTAAAACCAGTTTCTTCAGTGTTGTTACGTTGAGTTTTCTGATTTGTTACGCATTGATCATGCGAAACTCCTCAACGTAGACACTAGCGAACATCGTAATGGTATTCCAACATGTGTAATTTTCGCATTAAATCACGCATTAGCAATAAAATGCCGACGAAGGGACATTTCTTTATTCAAGCGATTACGCTTTGCAGGTATCTACGGGTCTGATACAAATGAATCCGTAAAAAGGCTGAATGATGACTTCAAGAATTTATTCCCAATCAGTTTGATGTACAGCGAAACGTGTTCTAAACCTATACAGGACGAGATAACCAGCAAGATTCGTGAATTTTACTTCGGCGATCGTGCCATCGACGAAACCACCAGATTCAAAGTTATCGACGTGGGTATAAATCATCGAATAATTCGTCAAATAATTTAATATCCATAACATTACATAAGTTACATACCATAACAGTTACGATCGCATTCTTGTTTTATACATCAGCTAAATTGCTGCTTGCTGTTATTACGATTGTCCATTTTAATCCAATAGACTTGTTAATCTTCTCCGTTGATCTCTCTGTTGAATCTTATAGATGTATGGCGACGCGTGGTTTAATCATGGTGCTTACACATCCATACGAGATTATCTCAAAACTCAATCCTCGCCTGTCTATCTTTACTACTTTGCGTACAGAGGAAGTGTGTCCTTCAGCAGGATATTTGGCGATTCTACCAAAGACTACGGAGTTTCGCATGCAGACGATTTGCAATATCTGTTTCCCGTAGGTGAACAATTATTCCAAGACACGCCGTTATCTACGGACGACCAGCGCATGATTGATGTCATGACTAGCCTCTGGTTCAATTTTGCAAATTCCGCGTAAGTATGAAAATCTCAAGCTAACATGACGCCGTTATTAAATACATCAAAGCTATCAACGGAAATCACATTCTCTCTCGCGATTACAATCATGAAATTTCTCTCTCTCTCTCTCTCTCTCTCCCCCTCTCACTCCCTCTCTCTCTCTCCCTCTCTCTCTCTCTCTCTCTCTCTCTCTCTCTCGATGAGATTCGAAGTTGTCAGTCAGATGATACGCACACAGAACATTCGATTGAATTCTTTCAGGAATCCTACGCCGAAGATTACGAAGGCGGTCCCTGTGAAATGGAAGCCAGTGAAAACACCGAGCGCTCACGAGTACTTGCATATAGGAAAATCAAAGATTGCCATGGAGAGAGACCTCCTCCCGACGAGAATGAAATTTTGGGATAGCTTGCCAGTGCGAGCGGATCTCGGGATCGAAATGAAAGAAAAAGTTAAGGACGAGTTGTAGTTTGCCATCACATGTATGTCATATATACGTAGTCAAATGTATGGGACGTACGGAACACAATGTTTATTTTAACTAGTTCATTCTAAAATAAATCTGTATTTTCTTCCTATGTTTGTTAGAAAAAAAGATATTGTTCTAATGCTTAATGCTTCACTATTCGATACTACTAATACATAATTTTAATATTCTACTTGAAATAGCTGACCATTTGCTACTTTTATACTTTTAAACAAAAATCGATTTAAAATAATCGATCGACATTTTTAGTAATGATATATATACATGTGTAATGTATATAAATAGTTTGATAAGTATCAATATGCACATACAGACAAGTAATACATGCTAATAAATCTTTTATACAAACGCTATTGAAACGTCTACGTTTCTTCTCCGTTTTCTTCTCCGATATCGCCAAGTCTATTTTTCTCTTCTTGGTAAAGGAGAGCTGTTTGCGGTAACGTAATATGCAATGCGCGATACAAGGTATGAAGTAATACTCAGGTACGAACTCTCTACCGAGGTTTCTCCTCATCTAACGTCAAATGACGAAATTCCAAGTGACTGTAAATGGAGATTTGAATTTCAAATCACTTTTCGCTTTTCATTATATTGTCTTAATGATCTTGAATATTCGATATTTATATTTGTTCGAATATGAAATTTTTACAAACCAAGATGTACGATATATACACGAGTATGTATACATATACTTGTGTTTTTACTTACTTCAGGTAAAGGAAATCGATAAGAAACATTTTAAAGGATGTATGCGATACGTTGCATCTTTCAGTCGATATTAAATGATGTCTCTGTTTACGGTTAACATATTCGGCTAATCATTACGAAGTGGAATTTCGACGTGAAACAAATAGTATAATCATGGAAAAGGATAAAAAGGATGAATTAATACTTGAGATGGAAGAAAGGATGTATGCGCCTCTACAATGGGAAGCACACACAGCGCCATGCAAAATTCAAGATCTCAAGGCAGCGCAATACGAGGAAGCTTTACGCTTGATAAAAGTTTAGCAACACAAGTGGGAAAACCTGTAAAGAATATCCGTGCGATAGTTCGAGCGAAAAGAGTTTGTAATTACGAGCTTCGTTCGGACAAAAATGCGTCAACGGCAGACGCGTTCCCTGTTTCTCACAACCTTTGCGCTGTGTTTTTCCTCTACGTTCTTCATTTGCAAAATATCCTTCCGCTGAATTCCCCAGCTGGGAAATTATGTTTATCCTACTTAGCTATTTGCGAAGTAACCCCGTGCGCGATCGTAAAGCATTATTCAGCCAGTAGTGCGGAGAATCGTGCCGCTTTGAAATGCTAATAAAATCAAATGGATTCATGTTTCTTTCTCACCGAGCATAATGACATATTAATACGTCATTTATATGTCATTAACGATAATTTAATATTCGATAGGATTGAGGAATAACACCGAAACGAAAGACTCAACGTGATTTTGTGCGAACGTGCAAAAAATGATAGACCTTGGTTTCTTAGCGCAGCATCATTTCTTCCGGGAAGAGCCGATGTGTAAAGCGGCTTCTTTGCTGGAAGACCGAAAGTCCGTGGGTGCATTACTGGATCTTACAAAAACGTGGATGAAGGACAATACTAGTTTGGTCGCACTCAGTTTAACATCGGGACGTGTTATTGGAGTCGCCGTTACGCGAGTCAACAGTGATTCAGATAAAACCGACACGTACAATCGTGTATTAGTACGTATGCTATTGCGTAAGATAAAATTCATTGTAACAATTAAAACATCAAATATCTAGTTTTGATTGTGTGTGTGTGTGTGTGTGTGTGTGTGGAAAAAATATATATTATCCAAAATCCAAACTATTCAAAATTTATAAAAACCGTTTAATATTATATTTTTATAGTATATTACACAAAATATTGGTAAAATGTAGACTCTAATGTAGAAATAAATAGCAAATCAGTGAAATTAAATCAAATATATCATATCGAGTGAAAATATCAGCCAATCTTTATTTGTCTACCAACTGTCGCGTCTGATTTGTTCCAGAAATTCGAAGGAGACACTCTGGAAAATATTATGCGACTGATCAACGCCGTGATCAAGCAAACGAATGCGTACAAGGCATTCGATTGCGAAACGTATCTTCGTGTCCATCTTCTCTGTGTTCATCCGTCTTATCAAAGAAAAGGTGTCGGCTTGTCCCTCTTGACAACTTGCGTTCAAGTTGCTTCCACGTTGAAGATACCAGCAATCGGTGGTGTATTCACTTCGGGCTACAGTCAATCATTGGCGACAAAACTAGGCTTTGATCTTGTCTCGGAAATTCGTTACAGCCGTTGGACGGTCAACGACAAGGTCGTATTCGACGATCCCGGCAAAGGAAATTATTCGGCCGCTTTCATGGGAATGAGAATTTCTCCAGCCGAGGAATATATTCACGAATCCTAACATCAGCATCGTGTGTTGGTAAAGTGAGAAGACGAATACAGCGCGCTAGTACGAGGTCTTGGACGAAACAGCAGCAGTTACATTTCCATCGATCGTTGTGTATACGAGGAGAACACACGTGACTCAGCTGTCTTGCATGGATAAAATAGAGAACTTAGTGTCGTATCCGTTCTCTCAAACAAAGTATTCTCTGTATTGATTTTGAAAAAAAAAAAAAATATATATATATATACATACCAGAGAAGAACATGAAAGCGGCCAACACGGCATTTTCTGCGATACCGACTTTCCGCACTGGGAAAGGGCGCCATCTGCATCCATTTTGAGAGGAGAACTACGATGCTACATCCATTTTCAGGTCTCGGTGGCAAAACTTGCATGTGGTGAAAGTCTATATGCTATATCCACTTTCAGGCGGTTTATATCCGTGCTACAACCACAGTTGCAACGCACTCTCTACGACAGACTTTGCCCAGAGGTCTAGAAAGAGCGGTGGAAGGAAGCAGGAGAAATAAAAGTACGTATTAAATATTAAGTCTTCGAATACATTAACATATGAAGTTCAAACCAAACATCGTGCGAAGTATCATCGAACGTTTTATTTTAACGTTTTACCAAAGCACTGAAGAGGTAATGCTAGTAATGCAGGTAAATGTTCGTATTGGCAAAGGGGCCCCGAGGGGGCCTGGAGGTAATTCCAGAGTCATGGTCCAGTACCAACCAGTTCAGCACCGAAGATAACTTTTCTCTCTTGTCTATCTGCCTTATAGAATTCAGTTTGCAACACTAAAGCATAGAGGAAAGGAGAGAGGTGATACTTGAGGGTTTATAATTAATATATATGTAAACTTCAATCGCTTCAACTGCTTAACTCGGGTTTTATTTTTCAATTGATTTTACTCGGAGGACACCCTATCGCCAGACCCCTTGGGGGGGGCCCCCCTTCGTCGAATACGAAAATTTACCCAGAGCTGATAGTCCTTAGTATTATCTCGTCGGTGATATCACTTAGTATTTGAATTAGACACGTTTTTGTGCAGAATGTCTGAAATTAAATTCGAATTCAAAATTATTCCTTGCCGGCGAGTCGAATATGTTTCGAAAGGCGTCCGACAGATCTCGCTGTGACGCACGAGCGGCGTAGCGTGCGGATGTGCGCGCGCGCGCATTCTCTTTACCGATGACGAGATGCGCGAGAGACGGTCGTCGGCGGCAGTAGGTGCCGGCAGTCAGTGCATGTCGGCCCGAGGCCCGTATCGATAACGTGTCTCTGCGCTCGGTGCTCTCGCGCAGCAAGACAGAGAGAGAGAGAGAGAGAGAGAGAAAGAGAGTGTGTGTGAGAGAGAGAGTGAGAGAGTGAGAGAGAGAGAGTGAGAGACGCACAGTCCCAGGTTGCGCGACTCCACGGCGGTACCTCCCGCGCGTACAACGCGTAAAAACGTGTTCGAATTCTCGTGTATCGTTCCGTGTCTGTCCGTCTGTTTATCCGCGAATCCGAAATTCGCGGGTCGTGGTGGAGTCGGATAGACGAGAAGCTCCGACACACAGTGCGTGACGACGAGGTGTGTGACGATATCTGTGTGACGGCTGGACGCGGATTCAGCGGAGCCACTACTACTGCCGGCGGCAGAAAGGAGGGAAGTAGTATCGGCGAATCATCCCGGTGAGTAACATTTCCATGCACTTTTTATCACTCGCATATTATCACAACCCCGGCGCGAAGTATCCGGCGTCCGAAAAGTGTCCGATCTCTCGGAATCAAAGATGTCCGATCGAAAGTTTTTCTAGTTAGACAAGGACAGGTGATTCGGTGGAAATTCATTGCGAAATTGCTCGGACAGGAGCACTTGAACTCGCAACTCGATTGTTTCGAGCGAAATCGCCGGTGAATTTATCATATCATGGAGATTCAGTCATTCAGATCGGTTTAGGCATCGCAGGAAATCCCAGTGAGGATATACATCGCAAAAAGAAAAAAGAAAAAAAAACAGTAAACAGTGCTTGTCTCGCTTCCCCTTCGTCGCCTAACTTCGCAGAGTACCGCTATACTGACGCGTCACACTTCACGTTTTACGTTCCAATTATAGCAGTTTCCGCGCATTTTGAATTATTCGTATGCATCTTCAGACTGCGGGACGGCCGTGTAATGTAAGATTAAGTCCAACTTACAACCTATAACCTATAACCTATAGTAGAGAGAATTCAACGACGACGATGATTTTATTTTTATTGTTGGTCAATCTCGCGAAATTTATAGAATTATACACTTTGTTGAAAAATACAAGACATTTATTAATCGAGATTACACACGAAGTATACACGCAGCTGAGAGAAAATATTTTGACAAAATGTTTTCGCGCGCTCTGTCCTCGAAATATCATCCTGCAGAAAATGTACGATACGAGAGCAGAATAATATTTATATATATCTACAAATTCCTATATATATATATATATATATATATATATATATATATATATATTATGTATGTATGTATGTATGTATGTATATATGTATGCATGTATGTATGTATATATGTATGTATGTATATATGTATGTATGTATGTATGTATGTATGTATATATGTATGTATGTATGTATGTATGTATGTATGTATGCATGTATGTATGTATGTATGTATGTATGTATGTATGTATGTATGTATGTATGTATGTATGTATGTATGTATGTATGTATGTATGTATCCATACACATATATAAAACTTTGAGCCGATAATAAATTATTATACGAGCGCAACTACGAGCGGGATTTTCGTTGTCATAATGATTTTGCTGCATCCGTCTAGTTTCTTTGTCGTGACGAGATCGCGCAGTTCCTCATCCGTCTTGTCTCGAGTGACACTCGCGCGTGCCTCCTAGAGTCTTCGAATAACGTGTGACAAGACTTTTTCTCGTCCTTTCGTAGAGTTCTGTTCGTAACGATGCGCGATTTTCGAGGAGGATGAGGATCACGTCCACCGACGATAACGATGACAATAATATGAACGCACGTCGCATATAGGCAAGCACAAAAAGGCAAAAAGGAGAATGAAAAGCATTCCGGAAAATGAATTTCCTACGTAATTGCATACAGGAAAAATAATTGCTCTGTTATCGTATATTCAGTAGCAGTAGAGATCGTCGCTTTTAATCGAGGAGGAATAGACGCTCCGGAAGCGTTAAAGGCTCAACTGTTCGAGGTGACAATTATACCACGCACGATTATTTCGCACGATGACGTCTCTACCGGTCGATTTCCATGGGCCATCCTTGGAACACGAGGGTCAATGAGCGACATGCTCGCTCGACACAATGTTCAACGATCCGGAAAATGCTCGGGGGATCGACTTGCAAGGCGACAGGCTGCGGTGCGCCTGTATCTATGCCTTTATTTCGTCACGTCGGGAACTCCCTCGGAATTGCAATAAGAACTGTCGCGGTCCGTTGAGAGTAACGTGAATAACTAGATGACGTCTCGTCGACGTCAGAAAAAATTCCACTTATCATTATTCACATTTCGGAGCAAGATAGGCCGCGGAGTAAATAGACGATTAGGTGATAGATTTCGTTGAGTGAGATAACACGACCAGCAGATTCGGCGCGCGTGTTTTCTCTATTAATCTTTGTCTAAAATTAAACGTCTCATATTGTTGTGTCTCAGAAACGTCTTAGATAAGACTTCCAAAAGAAGCTTTATATTTTTAGAGATTTAGAGTTTTTGGCGTCTTTGAGAAGTTTCGCAGACATGTTTTGTATATATATATATATATATGTGTGTGTCTGTTATATATGTTTCTCATTTAATTTTATTATATGCTTAAAATTAAACGTTTTTTATTTAATTTGCGAAAAGATTAATATTCGAATCGACGACATTTGATATTGTAATTTGAGAAAATCTTTTGTAGGCGAGCTTATTCGTTCAAATTTTAATACTGGAAGTTTTAAAAACGAGAGAGAGAGAGAGAGAGACTCGTCATTGTATTCACATTTATCGTGAAATTGTTTCAAATGAAAACCAAGGATAAATATTTATCGTGTATCACGTCCGTGAAGAGTTTTTTCGCAATCTGCAACAAACATTGCTAACGTTACTTTCACAACTTACGTGTACGTGATGAGCGCGTACTCGAGTTCAGCAGACCAGGCAAGGTTAAAGCGAACGGACAAGGTTAACTTTAACATTATCGTGCGCGCAAGAGCACGACGAAGAGAAGCATATGGACGAGTCGGCATACTGGCGAAAAGGTATGTCAGGTTGGTACGTTGACAACTCGGACAATTCGGACGCGGCGAGAGTTTCGAAATGGTTTGAATAAGCGCGTTCCGCGGAAGGGTACCTGAAGGGTCGGTGAAAGAAAGGTAACGGTACATACGTAAACGAGTCGGAATGAAATTTAAATTGCTAAACATTTTTCTCGTGGCTATTTGTAACATTCGTCGCGGCGCGGCGCGGAGCGTAATACGCTCGCGTTTGTGCCACCTAGATTCAGCTGGCTAATAAAGGAGTTTCAATATTCAACGTAATGTCTCTCGTCGAATGCGTGCGATTTATAAATTCAACGACGTTCCAATTAAACTCGAGACTATAAATTTAAATCGTTCTAATTAAAATCCGAGCCGAGCTAATTATAATCACACAAGCGTCTCGATGATGGCGTCTCATGAACATAAATGTCCAAGCGAGCAGTTCGAAATTGTAAGACATTCCCCGAAGGAGGTTCCAATACGCGGAACTTATTCCTCCGTATTGCAAAACCTCCTAAAGCTCCTTATCGTGGCCCATTAAATATCGTTAGGTTAGGTTAGGTTTCGGGTCCCAACTTGGAAGACGAGTACAGGGTAGGGAAAGGGAGAATCTTCGCTGCCGATTACGGCCGTGCCGGAAGCGGAAAGTCGTTGCCGAGGCACGGCGATGTGTCGCCGATGCTCTTCGCCTCGAAGAGAGGCGCGTTCGTGCGCGGCATGGAGCATCCGCGCTAATGACGATAACGATAATAATACTAATGACGATAATGCTGGGACTGGGCTAGGCGGCGGGTG